ACTGGCATGGTATAGGTGCTCAATGAACATTTGTTGGATGGATGGAAGGATGCATGGGTGGAAGCTTCATTGGTTCAGCACTGAACCCACCTTCGTGTCACTACTACCAAGTCTTTGTGAATAATACCCAGTGCCTAGTGGCAGTAACACCATTAGATCCAGACAGCTAGGGCCCCTTGCCCCAGATTCTGTGCCTTAGAGGATCCTGCACTTTGGACTATATTCCTCAAAAAATTTTAAGTGCCTTTCTAGGGTTAGCAATGCCATTTAGGGAAGGTACCCCAGTCTAAACCAGGTCCCACGTGAGTCTTGTTGGCCAGAATTTTCTACCTTGAAATTTTCTAAGTCTTTCTCCAGTGATTGAGACTGGCCAGGGACAGCAGTGCCATCCAGGCAGGGCATCCCAGCCCCAGACCAAGTCCATCCCCTGGGGGTCCCATGTGCCATTTATCCTCTTCAGGGTGCTCTCCAACCCTCTCCCTTACCCCTGTCCTTCTCTCACATGTATGTAGGGTCAACCAGATGCCCTGAGGAGCTCTAGGACCCATGTTCATGGAGTCATCTTGGTCAGATCTGGTTCTAAGAGGACAGCCTAGCAAGCAGCTCACTCCTGCTAGCTGGTACAGTATTTCTTTCACCAGATTATGTGAGATTATGCTGTCAAAAATGGTGCTGACATGCTGATTTGGGGTGATTCTCACAATGGACACAGCATGAGTTCAAGGCTCCTGGGCTACCAAACCGTCACTGCAAATGCTGCATGTGTGGGTCCATGCCTTGGCTTGTACCTCTGTGTTCAGACTGGCCTACTGCAGCTGGAGTGATGTTAGGGAGGGGCATGTGTGGTGGCAGGCATCCTTTAGCTATGCACCCCCTTCCCCAGCTGGCCACAGGGTAGTCACCTCACCCCCTTTAGCAGACTCCCTACCACTTGTCAATCTGCCCTCCAGGATGGGGCATGCATATTCTCTGTTTTAGTCTGCTCAGACTGGTATAAAAAAATACACAGACTGGGTCACTTAAGCAACAGACATTTATTTCTCACAGTTCTGGAGGCTGGGAAGTCTAAGAGCAAGGGGCTGGCCCATTTGGTTCCTCGTGAGAGTCCTCCTCCCAGCTTGCCTTCTTGCTATGTCTTCACGTGGTGGAAAGAGAAAGCTCTGGTGTCTCTTCTTCTTATAAGGGCACTAACCCCATCATGGGGGCTCTACCCTCATGACCTCATCTAAACCTAATTACCTCCCAAATTCCCACCGCCTAATACCATCACATTGGGAGTTCAGGCTTCAACATATGAATTGTTGGAGTGGGAGGTACATACATATTCAGCCCATAACATCCTCTGAGGGATTTTCAGATGTTCCACAACACCCACATGCACTTCTCAAGACGGAAGTATCTTGCATGAATGAGACTGCTCTTCTCACTCTGCTCACAGGCCCCTTGCCGTGCTTCCTGCTGTGGCATGTACAAGGCAGGGGCGCAGTCAACATTGAAAGTGACCATGGCAAAGGAATGCAGCAATTTTGGCCTAAAGAGGTCAAGACATGGTTGGAAGAGGTATTGTTCTACATTTATTAAACAAAATTCCAAATGGTAAATTTAACATGACCGGAAAATAAATTATCATTCACATTTTCCTGCATACTCTGGGTAAGACTACTATCTGTAATTCTTATCAGTGAGGCACAATCTCTGAGAGCAAGTCATCCACCTATGG